ATTTGTGAGCCAGAAGTTGCTGAACGTGACAAACCCATAGGAATTCTACAGAGAAAACGTGCCGGGTTCATCTTGAGGAAAGGGAAGGGGAAGCTGGGGCCCAACAGACAGACAGGCTTGTAAAAGGGGCCCCCATGGACTGCAATTCTGGCTGCCAGCAAGCAGATGGGCGCCATGCTGATAACCCCATTGAAAAAAGGCATCATTTGGCATATTTTGCAGAAACACAGCCATATTTCCAGAACTTTGCAAACAAAATATTGAATACATTTTCTGGGCTGAATTAAAATAAATTGAAACCCCAGATCCTTGAAGGCTAAATGGAAATGATGTTTGAAGTGCAAAGCTCTGATCCATTCATCAAAGAATACAGTACAGTATTCCATTATCATTTTATACAATGTTTTATTTTGCTGTGTGTTGCATGAATTAAATGCAATATTTTGTCCGCCCACAAGCGTGTATTAGAAGTAGGATTTTTCTCAAGTTGCTCATTGAAACGTTGCCTGGCCACAAATGAATATATTCATTGATGGTCATGATGAAATTGGATATCTATGATATATAGTATTTTGACAAATTGAATTTCATTTCTTTCTGTGTCCTTTGAATATAAAGTTAACATGACGTAAAACACGTTTCACTGACACCAAAATTAGACAATATGTTACCACGAGGTCTGTGTGGTCTGACTAATAAAACTAAACTAGACAAAACCTTAAACGATAACAAAACGTATATGTTGCCTTTGGTGAATTTTGCATGTGTGGATGATGAAATAGAGTCAGTCTCACTAAAAACAGCACGGGGGCAGGTTGTTCATTCTTTCTCTTGATTAAAACTAATATACAACGCTAAGGTCTCTAAAGATAACTTTTAACATATATTGCTTGCAAGCTGCATAAAGGCTCCCTATTGTTTGTTCTATCTTGAATTCAGAAAGATAATGCTATTTGTAGATTTAAAAAAGCCACAGCTGTGATTATATCAAGTTTCACCAGCTGAAAAAACAATAAAGAAATTAGCATGACCATTATTGAAATGTGCATTGAAGTTACCCCATTTTTTAATTATTTTTTTTATTGTTTGAAAATAATGCAGAAAGGTTGCCAACCCTTTAGATTGTGGAATATTAAATAAGCCAGAAAAAGCCTTTTTCTGTTTCCCATTTAATGTGAGACAGTCAGAATGGCGTTTGTCAGTTATTGTGAGCAGGAACATCTGTCCTAGCCGTTCCCCAGTTTCCAGAGTCAGACATGTCTAGGCTTACTTATTGTTCAGGCGGATAAGAATTAGCATTTTAATTTGCTGGAAGTATTGTTTCAAACACAGTATTGCACTTCTAATTGAATAATTGTAGTTCAAAGGCGCATCTGTAGAGATCAATCATTTGCAAATATATTTTCTGATAGCATTTGATATTCTAACACATGAAAAACCACTTTGTGTGTGAAAATAAACTAAACTGACATACCGTATTTACTCAAGTACCACACGCACCTTTTTTCTCAAATTTCAGAAAAAAAAGGGTGCGCGTCATAAGCAGGTACACAATTTTCAAGAAGTTTTAGGAACTTGTATGTTAATTATACTTGATTATAATTGAGAAACTTGTGAAAAATTTGCCAAGAAAACTTTTTTTTAGCTGAAAAATTTGAAAATTTATCAGATTCATGTTCAATTCACATCTAAAGTCAAATTTTTTGTTTTTATTTTCAAAATTTTGTGATTTTAGAGTCACTAAAAAGGGGGTGTGCGTCTTCCTCAGGGATACAATTTTAGCCAAATTTTGGACTGAAAAACCCCTGTGCACACCTTACTTGAGGGCGTGGGGTACTTGAGTAAATACAGTGGCCCCCGCCTAACAGACCTCCCGTGTAAGGGATTTTCGCCAAACAGACCAGCTCTGCAAGCAGTTTTTCCTCCCGCCCATTAGTGTTGAAAATTGAAATTCTTAATTTTTTATGTAATTGAATTCGTGTAAAGGACTTTTCGTCTAACAGACTCATCCCTTGCACAAATCAAGTCCGTTAGACGGGGGTTGACTGTATGTTATATACTGTAGGTATAGTTTATGAATTGAAAAAATCTATAGTCAATGGCACTATGGGAGAAAAAATTGAGGAGCCAAGATAAAGAATAAAAGGGACTTGCAAAAATATTTGAGTATCTTTGAAACTGCATGATAATAATAATTGAAGCATAATTAAAATTGAGAAAAGACTGCAGTATATACAGAAGCTGGCTTATATCCATGATGCAGCTCATATTTGTTCACCCATGCTGCCCAGCATATTGCAGATTACAATTTCCAAAAATAATTCTTTCTTTCCCCACTGAAACATGCTCTTTTTTCCCAACTCAAAACCTCACCTCCTTAACTCATTTTTTTGGCTGGTCCCTTGAAGTTTGACTTGAAGAGGTTGGAATATCCAGGTATTCTTTGTACCAAAAACTTTGTTATGCAGAAACTTTGTACAATGCCCATGATATAAGACCAAAAAATTGTTTTCTTCAAGCAGAGAAAAATCATTGTAGACAATAATGAAAATGAGCGCAACTTCTCCTGTCCCATGCGGACGCTACCTCTCTCAGGACACACTACAGCATCTCCTGTATCCCCTATACTGTACCTTACGGTATTGTACAGTATATACATACAGTAAAAATATATATACAGTATATTGTACTACTGTATTGGGACAGGGACTGGTGCTGCTGGTGTTCAAGCGCATGCGTTCTGTTATATTCGGAGGGGGGATGACTGAAGGGGAATGCTTCTCTCTCTCCTTTCTGAAGCACGTTCCGCCAAAGATACCCACACGTTTTTTTATAAAGAAGACTCATTTAAACAGTGGCCTATGGGAGGAATAGGGGAACGGGGTTTTTTCTCTGGTCGGCATCATTCCCACTGCGAGCAGATCTTCAGAGACGTGCATGTGTTCACGTGGGGTGTGTGCTGCTGTGTGATTTATTTTGTGCGGAACCCAGGGCCACTGGGTGGGTTTTCACGTAATCGTGCATTCGTGCCCATGGGTTCAGTGTTACGTGATATGTGCTGCAATAACGTTGTGTGTATTCGCTGTGTGAAAATATTTGAAGAAAAAAACACTTTGCATAGAATGAGATGAGAGGAATCATAATTTGTGGGTTTGGATTGTCATCCTATGGTTGGGATACAATTTTGAACCATCCTTTCAAAGAAAATTGATGATGATGATGATGATAGCCAAAAGGATTTTCCACTTTATTCTTATATAGACAACTTGGGGTAGAGGGTTTGCATGTGGGAACATATTGCTTGAACCTTGCTGTGAAAGCTGAAAAGTGAAAAAAAAGTTTGTTTTATCAATCAATCAACAAATCTTAAACAAGGAATCATTGCCACTCTGAAAAACCAAGTGTGGATTTATGCTCTAGAAAAGTTTCCTTATTAGTGGGTTTGAATCTTCCTTGATCATACACTGAAACAGGAATATTAATATTTAAACTCAAGCTTATTGTTTCAAGCTTTGCTGGATGCATGAAACATACATGACATGCAAAAGGGGTTTCTGTTATTCTTAAACAAGCACATCTGCTTCATGATTGAGAACTAATCATGGATTTATTTGCAAGAAAAGTGACTCCATGGCTTGATTTTGAAATGCCTTGGAAGCTGTGTTGGAGGAAAATACTGGAAATTCCTTTTTTCTTGTCCAAATACTGGAAGGTTTGGGGAAAAAACTCCATACAAAACTTGCTATTTTCATTCAAACATGAATCTTCCTTGAAATTTTGAATGTGAATTTTTCTTGATTTATTTATTAATATGAGGAAAGGTTGAACTATAACAGGGGCTTGATTTGGAATTTTTTTAAATCTGATACTTTAGTGGAAATCAGCATAAAAAATTCTTGTTTTATTTCCCAAATACTGGGGAATGTTAAGTACAAAAGTCCTGATGCAAGATTTCCTCAGCTTTTATTCAAGAATAAATATATATTACTTTTTGGTTGCATTTTCCTTGATTTATTCTTTAGCAAGAAAAGTTTTAAACAGTGGATCAACTGTAAAGCTATAACGCCTGAAATCGGCTATAGAAAAGAAAAAAACTGCATTCAAATGTCTCACTAATGGAAGTAAGTTAAACATTGCTCCTTTATAGTTGATAATCTAGGAACAGTTTTCACAATCATCAAAAATTCTAGTGTTGACAAATCTTTTTGAATTTTTTAACCAGTTTTGTAGATAATTTAAGAAAAAAATTATGAAAAAATTGAACCAGCCAGATGACTTCTTGGCTTTTGAATGGCTTGTATATAAAGCTGTGATATGGGGAAAACTTACTTCTGATTATCAACTTATTTCATGGAGGGATGACTTTTGTACAAAGCATAATAAAATATGTAACTATAATATGACCTCAAATGCTTCTGACCACAATTCTGCTGTGAAATATTAATACCAATTACTTCAATGGAGGTATAGCAGACAGAAAGCAAGAAAACAATTAATTATAAATTTTCCTTGAACCTCATATGCTTTGGAAGACTCATTCTTGCTGTCTGCAACAAAAGAAGTACATTGTGTTTCCTTTTTGTTCAAAATCTGAAAGATGGGTCTCTTTGATCTCAGCTTCTCCAGTAAACATCCCTGCTTTGAAGTCTTAAAACCAGGCATTCTTTCAAGTATTCTGTTCTATCCTCACTGCTTCTTATCAATTTCCTGTCCTCAATCAGAGCAACAACCAACTCTCATTTACTTTTAATGTGGAAACCAGTTAATGAAGAAATCTTGAAGATGCCAGACAAATACTGACCTTTCTGGCTTAAGATTTATTTGTTTTTAAGTGTCATCCAGGTGTTTCTTAGTTCTGCTGGCATGAAATAGAAGGAAACATAGTTTGGTAGTGCTTGATAAATATGATACTGTATATGTAGACTTATTGTTTGTGTATGGTGTATAATTTCTTGGCTGGATGCCATATCTCACTTAATATTTCTTCAGTTGACTTGACTCAGATATTCTTTTCCATTTTCCACAGAAAATTATAGTGAACTTGCAATAAAAGAGTAAATTGAAGTACAATAATCATCAACCATGGATGACAAAGAAAAGAGGAAGCAAATCTCAGTGAGGGGCATTGCTGAGCTTGATGATGTGAATGAGATCAAAAAGACATTCAACAGACATCTCCACTACACTCTAGTCAAGGACAGGAATGTGTCCACTTCCAGAGACTACTACTTTGCACTGGCCCACACAGTGAAAGACCACTTGGTGGGGCGTTGGATCAGGACCCAGCAGAACTACTATGAAAAGGACCCCAAGAGGATCTACTATTTGTCACTAGAGTATTACATGGGGAGGTCCTTGACCAATACTATGATCAATTTGGGCATTCAGACATCCTGTGATGAAGCTTTGTATCAAATGGGACTTGACATTGAAGAGCTGGAGGACCTTGAAGAGGATGCTGGACTTGGCAATGGTGGCCTTGGCAGACTTGCTGCTTGCTTCCTGGACTCCATGGCCACTCTTGGCATGGCAGCTTATGGTTATGGCATTAGGTATGACTATGGTATCTTTGCACAAAGGATCCAAAACTTGGAGCAAGTGGAGGAGCCTGATGACTGGCTGAGGTTTGGGAACCCCTGGGAACGGTCCAGGCCAGAGTTCTGTCTCCCAGTCAACTTCTATGGAAGGGTTGTGGATGAGAATGGGAAGAAGAAGTGGGTGGACACTAAGATAGTGTTTGCCATGCCCTATGATGTACCAGTGCCTGGCTACCAGAATAATGTGGTCAACACTCTGAGACTGTGGTCATCCAAGTCTCCAGTCTCCTTCAACCTCAGGTTCTTCAATGATGGAGACTATGTGCAAGCTGTTCTGGACAGGACCTTTGCAGAGAACATCTCCAGGGTGCTTTACCCCAATGACAACTTCTTTGAGGGAAAGGAGTTGAGACTGAAGCAAGAGTATTTCATGGTTGCAGCCACCCTCCAGGTTATTTTATTCTGCATGTCTGCCACTCATTTTAAAAATACCACTTTCAACCATTGGATGGCAAATTCCATCATGCCGTGGTGTTGGGAAATGTTTGCATGCTTTTGAATTTTGTTTTGACCAAAGGTAACTGAAACACAGCAGCTATGGCTGGGTAAATGGGTACTTTCCTGTTATCTCAGTACCCATTTTTCTTTGTCTTGTGAATTCAGTATTTGTTAGGTTAGGTTAGGTCAGGTTACGTTAATTGATAGATATTTGTAACTAACATAACCTGACCTAACCTAAGTTTACCTAACTGCCTCCCAAAATCAGTTTCAGCAGAATGCAGAAAAATGAAATTCATAGTTTCTGGTAGGTGCATGGAAAGTAGGTACTGAGATAACAGGAATGTACCGGTAAATGCATCTGGGAGATTGAAACCCCATCATTTTCAAAATCTGTCAATGCTAATCAAATGGCAGGAATGTTGAAATATGCTTCCCAAAGCTAAATATTTTTTGGGAATATTTTTCTGCAGAAAAGTAGAATAAAGTTTGGGATTTTCTGGACCTTTGACTCTTCTGATCATGCTGCTACAGTACCTATGTGGCACAAAATTACCTATGGCACCAAATTGTGCAAATATATCCCAACAGCGCTGCCCAAGGGTTAGCATGCAGGGAATACATGTGTATCTTTTGTGGTTGTTGCAGGACATCATCAGGAGGTTCAAATCATCTAAATTTGGCTCTCGAGAAGCTGTTAGACATGACTTCTCTGAGTTCCCAGACAAGGTGGCTATCCAGCTCAATGACACTCATCCATCTCTGGCTATCCCAGAGCTGATGAGGATCCTGGTTGACATTGAAGGATTGACCTGGGAGCAGGCCTGGGACATCTGCACCCGCACTTGTGCATACACTAACCACACTGTGTTGCCTGAGGCCCTGGAACGCTGGCCAGTCTCCATGTTGGAGTACATCCTCCCCAGGCATCTCCAGATCATCTATGAGATTAACCAGAGACTCATGGATCAGGTGATCATCAATCAATCAACTGCATATGTATAATACAGTGAAACCCCTCTTCAAGTTTAAATTCCCAAAGAGCTAGCAAACAATTTATTGTGTGGGAAGGTTTTGAGTTGAAGAAACTACCATTTTTACCTTTGAAGAAAGAAGATTTAAAGACTGCTGAAATCTTTCTTGGCCCAAATCTTCCTTGACAAGAAGTTTCACCTTGTCAATTAGGATGCTCAACTATAGGGGGTAAGGTCTCATTTGCCCTGTTAGTACAGTCAACCCCTGCACAACAGGCTTACTTTTTACAAATTACTGGTTCTGTGTGTGAAAAGTCTGTTATGCAAATTCAATTTAAAAAAAACTTGAAATTTGTACTTTTTACCATCAATTTTAAACCAACAGAAGTCTGTTATGTGGATGTAGTCCATTGCGCAGGAGGGAAAAATGCCTGCTGTGCAAAAACCTGTTTTGTAGGATGAGGTACATTGAATGGGGGTTGACTGTATTTCACTTTCTTTTCAAAAAGCATCAAGTTACATTTTTATTGATCTTCTCTTTCCTGGGTCACAAAAATGACCACACAGGAATAAAAGTTTATTCCATTAATGAAAAATTCATTGATGAAGTTCATTTTTCTTTTCTTTGAGAGAAGGAAATTAACCTTAAAAAAACAATGCATTTATGATTACTCATTGAATATGCATCTTGGTAACATTAAATTATGTTGCAGCTCATTTTCCTATTATAAAGGGACAGAAGACCTTTTTTTGTACTTTTGTGAGGAGAAAATTTACTTGCAGAGAAGGAGGCTTTATTGATAATATAATGAATATGAATCTTGTTAAAATCAAATTATACTGCAGTTCATTTCCTCAGGATAAAGGAATAGTTGAAATGTTTAAGATACAGTAGTATGAATTGAATTTAACATGTGCAAAAGATTTGGAAGAATGCAAAACCTAGCTTAAACTTGGCACATCACCAAATCCTGATGAACATGAAAAAAATTTTCAGGGTATGAAAATGAATATAAAACATGAACAAGAGCTCAGATGTGTTTCACAGAGTTTAGAAGAAACCTTGCCTATAACCTACTGTCAGATGTTCGCATTTGATGAAAGAATAGTTTCTTTTGTTTTCTTTTTGAGAAATCATTGCAATTTTCATGGTTTTCTTCAAAAGGTTTCCAAACGTTGGGTTGGGGACTTCGATCGCATGCGAAGGATGAGCTTGATTGAGGAAGAAGGCGAAAAACGCGTCAACATGGCGCACTTGTCCATCGTAGGCTCACACGCAGTCAATGGTGTCGCTGCTATCCATTCAGAAATCATCAAGCGCGACATCTTCCACGACTTTTGCGAAATGAACCCCGAAAAGTTCCAGAACAAGACAAACGGTATCACTCCGCGACGTTGGCTCTTGCTTTGCAACCCGGGATTAGCCGACGCGATTGCGGAGAAAATCGGCGACGAATGGCCGCGACATCTAGACCAACTGCAGGAACTCAAGAAGCACGTTCATGACCCGGGTTTCATGCGTGTCGTGCAGACTGTGAAGCAGGAGAACAAGCTCAAGATTGCGCAATTGCTGGAGAAGGATTATGGAGTCAAAATTAATCCGGCTTCCATCTTTGACATCCAGGTTCGAATAATCAATCAGAATTCTTGAATAATTCCTACATTCACTTCAAAATGATTATAATACAGTACAGCACTGTACCTTGTCTTATTCCGATTGAAAAAGAGAAAGAAGACAATAAAATAAGTTAAAACACTCTCAATATCCAACTTTTGTTTTTGTTGGAATAATTTTACTTATCAATACATTCAGAAGGTTAGGTACTATCCCCTAGAAGTACATGTACACGGAATGATTCAAAAAGTTATGTCAACATAATTTCTGAGGATCGGTTTCTCCTTGAGAACCCAAAAATGAGGGAGAAGATCACTATCAACACTTTTGTTTTGAAAAGAAAACTTGAAAAAAGTCTCAGTTTCTTTTCCAAGAAGCGTATTTAAGTGCAGAACAACTTTTGCTCTTCAATTTACATTTTCAGGAACATTTAGATATATTTTATTAATGGAAATGATCTCCAGCATTCTTCAAGGACACAGAATATTTAAAAAAAGAATTGAATCTATTCTATTTGTATTAACTTGAGTTCATACGGATTGTCAAGAAAAACCACTCTGCTAAATTGACAGCAGCAGTCCACTAACATGGCAGTTCTGCAATTCTGAACTGAAAAAGCTTATGAATCAGTCCAATGATGATTCTATTGAGTTATTGACACTGGTTTAAGATTAATGCCTCAGAAAATTGAAAACAAAAATGAAAATAAAGGCATTGAAAATTGAACAATTGGCAGTGAACTATCCCATGAAAGAAAGCTGACCTGAATATTTTAGAAGAAGATGAAAGAATTATGATCAGTAAAGATTACGACTTTTATGATTTTATCACACATCCATCTAAAATAAACACTGCCCAGCAAAAATATCACTGTTCAAAAAACATGAAAGAAAACTTATGAATCAACCCAGGCATTATCTTTAGTTGACTCGTTTTCTTTTTTAAAACCAGTTGAAAGAAAATGAACAAAAATTATTCAGTTTTAATGTTTTTTCAGCCTTCCAAAAGATTGCCAGCTTAAAGAATGCACAGCATTTACAAAACTTTTATAAACCTATTATGGAAGTGCAAAATTTTGTTTATATTTTGAATATTTGTCCTGAAGATGTCAGGACACAACCAAAAATTACTCAGTAGAAATTAATTTTGTGACACCTCCATCATCTTCACAAATTTCACTGCTCATCAAACCCTGACAAACTATATGAACCAACACAGGTATTATCTTGAGTTGGACTTATATTTATGGTACATTTTCTTGAAAACCATGGGCTTTAAAGAAAAGTTGAGAGAATGAACAAAAATTACTCAATCTCAAAAACTCCCTTCAACCCAGCAAAAGATTGTCAGCAGAATAAAGAAGTACCAAATTTATGAACCTACCCCTATAATATGAGTCCATGTAGCATTTCTGTTTATACTGAAATAAATAAATGTCTGCTGGACATGATCAAAAATTGCTCAGATTCATGTGATGTAATCATGTAAATAATATGCATCCTCCAATCTAAAAAAATAATGATAGCTAAATTAAATCCTTTATGTTCATTCAATTACCTGAGTGGGGAAATTGGTGCACACTGGGGATTTGTTTGTAATTCTACAAGGTGACCCTGCTGTGCACCTGAAGTGTACCAAAGTTCTTCTCTTGCACATGCATATCCCTCATGTGCACCAATTGTGTGTTCACACCAGGATTACTCACGGTCACATTTGTAAACAAATAAGTTACACCAAGGTTACAGTTGCTGGATTGGTATGATACTCCTGTTCTGTCACATTTGTGCACCAAGTGTAGCCCTGGAATGGTAGCAAAATTTCCTCTACTGGAGTGCACACTTGTAACCCCAGAAAATCCCATATGCAACAGTTGTGACCCTGGTGTGCACCTATACTGTGGGGTCACAGCAGAAATAGCTCCCCACTCCGGTAGAAAAATGAAATCCTTTTCTTTCTTTTTTAACACATTTTTATTAACTCACTTTCTTGTCCATTTGTTTGTCCGAATCAAATTTTGCAACTCAAATTTTGCTCACTTCCCAGCTAGCTAGCAAGCTGAAACTTTCAGGATAGCTTAGAAACTGATGACAATGCAATCTTTTGTGAAAAGTTGAAAACGTGGTTTTTTAGATTAATTTTTTAATCTACTAAATTTTTTTTTTTCTTCAAAATTCAATCATTCCACAGGTGAAGCGTATCCACGAGTACAAACGCCAATTGCTCAACTGCCTCCACATCATCACCATGTTCAACCGGATCAAGAAGAACCCCTCGGGCAGTTTCGTGCCCCGCACCGTCATGATCGGCGGCAAGGCCGCCCCCGGTTACCACATTGCCAAAAAGATCATCAAGCTCATCTGCTCCATCGGCAACGTCGTCAACAACGACCCCATCATCGGCGACCGCCTCAAAGTCATCTTCCTCGAAAACTACCGAGTCACTCTGGCCGAAAAGATCATCCCGGCGGCGGATTTATCCGAGCAAATCTCCACGGCCGGCACCGAGGCCTCGGGCACCGGAAACATGAAATTCCAGCTCAACGGCGCCCTCACCATCGGCACTCTGGACGGTGCCAATGTGGAAATGGCCGAGGAAATGGGACGAGAGAACATCTTCATTTTCGGCATGACCGTGGAAGAAGTCGAGGACCTGAAGCGAAGGGGCTACAATGCCTGGGACTACTACAATCGGATCCCGGAGCTGAAAGAAGCCGTGGACCAGATCCAGTCCGGGTTCTTTTCCCCGGGCAACCCCGACGAGTTCAAAGACATAGCCAACGTGTTGCTGAACCACGACAGGTTCTTTTTGTTTGCCGACTACGAGGATTACATCAAGAGTCAGGACCTGGTGAGCGAGACCTACAAGGACCAGAAAAAGTGGACCGAGATGTGCATAATGAACATTGCGTCTTCTGGCAAGTTCTCCTCTGACAGGACTATTGCACAGTATGGAAGGGAGATTTGGGGAGTGGAGCCGTCTTGGGAAAAGTTGCCAGCACCACACGAGCCCAAAGATGCTGTGCCAGAGACCAAAGACAATAAGATCAGCAGCAATAAGGGCAAGAAAAATAAGAAATAAGTCATAAACACTTGTTACTATTTTTCTTTTATTTTGATTTCCTTTGGTCAGTAGGAAGAGAAAAGAAAGTTGGAGCCTTTAATTGGTGTTGTGCAGAATTCATAGAGTCAAGATATATACTTTCTTATATCTTGCTAATTCTTAATTGTGCAACACCAAGAAAAAAAAAGAAGGCATACAAGTGGTACCCTGCAATGCAACCCTAATCCATTGCTGCTGGGTTAGCGTCAAATTGTGAAATGGTCAAATTGCAAGACAACATCAAATGCAATGTTTTCTACATCAATTTTGCAGGGCAGAGGTCAAATTGCAAGTTGATCTCCCAGCAAATTTGACTGTTGAATTGCAGGATGCCAAATGGCACAGTACCGCTTGTACCAACAACAAAAAGTCCTATAGTTGATGCATCTGCTCTTCACAATTATTGTCCTGTATCCATGATGAAGGGTTTATACCAAGACCAAAGCACTGATCATGATCATCATCATCAGAAATTCAAAGAAAAAGTCAAAATGTGCTGAGGAGGTTTAATTATATGTGGAATCTCTAGTCCAACTTGTGTGGGTGTCTTAACAAATTGCCTCTTATTATTGTGAAGGGAGGAAAACTTGTTTCCTAGCTTTTCTTTATAGCAATATGAAAGAGGCTTGATTCAGTGGGAATTGGAAGGCAAAAAGAAATGGGCTCCTTCATGCTTAGTGATTACCTGGGAAAATTGATGAGTGATTCATTCTGTTTAGCAGGCTTTTTTTGCGAGACAGAAATACATTGACAATAGTGGGAATGGAAATTTTGAGTGATTGCAAGCCAATTGTACCCACAACTCAAATCAATCCTGAAATGTAACTTGTTATTAGAACCTAAAAACCCGGGTCTTCCATCATTTGCATGCTTTCAAATGTGATAGTACCATTTCTTCATCACAAAAAACCTCATGGCACTGCAAAATAATTTATTTTTATGCTTGCAAAAGGAATAAAGTAAACAAAGCAAATTCTGAACTTTCATAGATTTTTGTGAAGTTGGAATGATTATATTTAAGTAAAGTTTACTTCAAGGGCATTCATATTTCTGAGGAATGAAAAAAAACCACATTTTTGGAGCTTGAAAAGGTAAAATTGGCTCTACATTTTCTATTTGAATAGGCAATAATTGCCATGCAAACACCAAAAACAGCATAATTTCAAATTGAATAAAAAGGATGTAAAACAACAGCACTCACCATGAGAAAGGAGACTCCTGCATGATGGTGACATCTACCAGTGCTTTCCTGAAACACTGAACTGCACTGCACTCAAATGAATAGTTAGGAAGTCTTTCTCCAACATCTGAATATTGGAGTTTGACTTAAGTGAACTATGATTCTAAAAAGCATCTCATCAAATTTGTTGAATATAATTGGTCAAATAAAATATATGCCATCAAAATCTTTTCATCACAGGAGACTCAGGAAGTGCCAATAACTGAAAACACCACATAACCTTGCCTTCAAGAAATACAACAAAAGTCCCTTGAAAAACAGAATGCAGAATTCAATATATACACCAACTTAGAATTGCTTTCTAAATACAAATAATACAAAACTCAAAACAAGTAAATCCTTCTCTTTATTCATGGACCCAAATGCGTTGTCCCCAGCCTGGGAAAATATCACTTGCTAGTCTGCACCCACTTCAGTTCATCAACCCTTTTGAAGCTCTTGAAAAAAATCAAACCCTGTGGGCTCCCTTTTTTGTTTTTGTTTTGGAAGGGGACTAACATCACCCTGTACACATGGTCTAAAAAAAAAGAACAATGCTGCTCCATGGCCCCACAACATATGTCACTAAAATCTATAGATTTTCCAAAAAAAGGCAAGCATCAGAATAACCAGTGTGCGTTCTTGAGAGTTGAGTAAAATGCACTAAGCTGTTGGGATTACATATTTGGTTGGTCTCACTCTCTGGGAAGTTCATCCCAGGAGGCATAGAAAGAGAAAAACAAAAACAAAACAAAAAAAGTAAAACACCCAACAAAAATAGGGGGCAAAGAACACCACAAAAAAAGTTTTCCCCCTCCTTGTCACACACCCTTCCAAACCCATTTTTGTTTTATTTATTTCCTGTTCTGTTTTTAAAGTTTCCCTCAGGCATCAGTGTACAGACAGTACATTTGGCTCCTGGCATTGGCAAGAGTGTCAGAGATGTCACTGGACCCTGACACCTGCTGGAGGATCCCATTGCAGGAGGATCCCATGTTCACAGGCTCCACTGAGAACCTGGGTGACAAAGCTGCAGGCTGCTCTGTGACCCTCAGATGCCCTGGTTGCTGAGTGGGTATTGAGTTATTGATGCTGGACACACAGTCATACACCATGTTGCTGCTGTGGTGGAGTTGTCCAGATGGTGAGGCCCCTGATGGGGACAGGTTGCAACTGCCTTCCCTGTACCTGGTCTGGTAGCTGGGGGAGGAGGACTGCTGCTGCTGACTGAAACCCACATTCCAGCAATCCATGCCAATTCTTGTTCCTGTAAATTATCCAAACACACAATATAGGAGTTCTTGTCAAATAAAACAATAATTAAGTTCATCATCAAACAGTACTAAATTATCATCCAATCATGTTCTTGAACAGTCAATTATTTCTCATTTATTTTAGGATTACTGTACTGCTGACTGAAACCCACATTCCAGGAATCCATGCCAATTCTTGATCCTGCAGATTAATTACACACTCAATAGGAGTTCTTTTCATATAACACAAGCTTGAGTCCAACCTCAAACAATTCAAAGTTAATCTAATCATTTTCTTGAGAAGCCAATTATTCAGGTTTTTTATGGACACAGTGTTGGCTGAATGGATCAAAGATATTTCAAAGGTTTAAAAGTCTTCAGACTGTCTCATCCTAATTACAATTTGAGACAAGTAATTTGTCAATTTGGATAAATAAACTTCATGGATTTATTACATGATCACATTCCCTAGTGTATTAATGAAAAGATAAAAAATATAAAAATTGAGAGAAGGCTTGCCAAAAATATAGTTGAATTGCTTGGACATTTTCAAAATGCATCCATCACTTTCAAAAGTTACAGCTCCTTGTATGAAAAAGATATCTTGATGAAATACTGCAAATCTGAGAATTATGCCCAAAACACCAATTCACACAATTACTTGATTGTACAAACAAATTCTGCAAATCTTGATTGCATATATTTGAAGAATATAGTGCAATTCCTGGATCAGTGATTCACAATAGTCTGCTTTCTGAAATGGATGACATTCAAGAACCTTTGAAATAACTGATTGAGGTGCTGAAAGTTTTCTGTGTAAAAGGCAGTAAATTAATGGGGGTGATATAGTCTTTAAAAGCTGTATGTTCATCAAATAGAAAAGAATGCTGATGATAAATAACATATTTCTACTGAAGAGAATAAAAATTCATAGAACAGATGAAACTAGAATCATCAAAATGAATATAAAATGAGAGAAACATTCTCCATAGAGTTTTAAATTTGCTTAAAAAAGATTCATAGATTTTGAACCATTTTAATATGATAAAAATTAATCATTGAATCATTTCCACAAAATTTGGGAAGTTAGATCAAATAAAAAATTGGAATGTATCTATATGCGACTCAGTAACCACATAATTTAGTTTAAAATCCAACTTTATGCCCATAAATCAACTTTACAAGCATTGCTAGAGTTTATTTATTTTCTGAGTAACAGAGAAAAACAAAATTGTATTTACCTGACATGAGGTCATCGTCTTGTTGGAAACCAGAAATAGCCTCATCAGTAGGCTTGCAATCCTGCTGATCCTCAGATGGAGCAACAAATCTATCAAAGTCACTGAATTCGCGCGACATCTGTTGATCATCACTGGACAACTGAACCCGATGGTGTTGCTGAGGTGGCCGCCAGGTGCCACTCGCAAAGTCCACCCCAGGCCACGACCCTGGTGCGGGGTAACCATCCATAGGACTGTAAAGACCACAACCGTTGGGTTTCCCAAGAACAACGACTACGACTCTACCAAATCCTGACGGCAGTAAAACAACGACTTTGAGCATACAGAGTTTACGTATGAACGGTCAGTGGACGACTTATAAAAGAAACATGTCTTCAAATGAAAAAAAAATTATGCATGAAATTTTTCAGCATTGCAATATTGTACAGGCAGCTCCAAAATAATTCAACCAAAATTGACCCTTACAGCACACACATGAATTCTTATGCTTGCTAAGGAAACTTATATGTTTATTTCAGCTTCTACAGGTTAAGGGACATTTATTTTATTTTATGGAAAGCATCACTTCAAATTTTGCTTCTGGACTGATTACTGTGAAGAACATCACAATAGATCCCTTTTGAAAATGTCTAAAATATATGCCATGGTGAACAGAGTGAAGATCATCTCAAAAGTAAAACAGTCTTAAAAATTTTTTAACAAAGATGAAGCAGACCATAATCTCATCTAGGTACAGTTAAAGAAGCGGTGTTAAATACAGTGGCCCCCCGCCTAACAGACCTCCCGTTTAAGGGATTTTTGCCAAACAGACCAGCTCTGCAAGCAGTTTTTCCTTTGACATTTCTGGTGTTGGCAACCCAAAGGGTTCTTGTTGCTGATGCTGAGATGGTTTAGGACTGCCGTCATTTTGTTGCTGAAACTCGTATGTCTCAAATGCATACTTGCCAGTCACCTGCTGAATAGAAACAAACATGTCTTCAAATGAAAAAAAATTTATACATGTGATTTTATATTGCACAGGCAGCTCCAAAATAATTCAACTAAAATTCACCCTTACAGCACACAAATGAATTCTTATTGCTTTTCAAGGAAACTACAGTATATGTTTATTTCACCTTCTACAGGTTAAGGGACATTTATTTTATTTCATGGAAAGCATCACTTCAAATTTTGCTTCTGGACTGATTAATGTGAAGTACATTACAATAGATCCCTTTTGAAAATGTCTAAAATATATGCCATGGTGAACAGAGTCAAGATCATCTCAAAAGTAAAACAGTTTTTAAAAAATCTAAACAAAGATGAAGCAGACCATGATCTCTAAGCACAGTTTAAGAGGCAGTGTTTAATATTGTACCAAAAGGCCCAATACAATTTTTTATCAATGCCAGGACAAAACAGTATAAAGAGAAACTCAATAAATGTGTTATTCAAAATGCTCTACACTTTCAAAACAGAAGAGGCAAATTAATGAATGGTCAACCATATATTTGAGCACAGTGAAAGTACTTTTTGAAATGCCATTTTATGTGTCAAATTTAAGAATAATGCTTTTTGCTCATATGCAGTGATGATGAATGTATTCTTCATGCTCTGCTAAGGTCAAAGACTTTATTTGGGTGATTAGTTATGTATGCAGCTTTAAGCATTAGGTTTTAAAGGAAATTATTAATGGAAAATCTCAACAGAAAAGGCCTAAATATTTATAAAATTTTTGTGATGCCATATAAAAGGCTGAAAGAAATTGAGAAGGAAGAAAAAAAAAATTCAGCAAACCCACTTGTTTGAACTGTGGTTTCCACCTAACAAATTCATCACCCAGAGGAGAGGACTCAGGAGTAGGCACCAGACCAGCAGTGGTCCATGCCATAGTGCCACTGTGGCTAAATTAGTGTTGAAAATTGAAATTTTCAATTTTTTTGTAATTGAATTTGTGTAAAGGACTTTTCGTCTAACAGACTTGTCCCTTGCACGAATCAAGTCCGTTAGACAGGGGTTGACTGTATTGTACAATACAATTTTAATTCAATTCCAGGACCAAACAGTAGGAAGAGAAACTCAAAAAATTTATAATTCAAAATGCTCCACACTTTCAAAACAGAAGAGGCAAATTAATGAATGGTCAACCATATATTTGAGCACAGTGAAAGTACTTTTTGAAATGCCATTTTGTGTGTCAATCTAAGAATAATGTTTTTTGTTCATATGCAGTGATGATGAATGATTTTTTTATGCTCTGCTAAGGTCAAAGACTTTATTTGGGTGATTAGTTATGTATGCAGCTTTAAGCATTAGGTTTTAAAGGAAATTATTAATGGAAAATCTCTGCAGCAGAGGCCTAAATATTTATAATTTTTTTTGTGATGCTATATGAAAGGCTGAAAGAAATTGAGAAGGAAGAAAAAAAAATTCAGCAAACCCACTTGTTTGAACTGTGGTTTCCACCTAACAAATTCATCACCCAGAGGAGAGGACTCAGGAGTAGGCACCAGACCAGCAGTGGTCCATGCCATAGTGCCACTGTGGCTAAAAAAAAATTCAGCAAACCCACTTGTTTGAACTGTGGTTTCCACCTAACAAATTCATCACCCAGAGGAGAGGACTCAGGAGTAGGCACCAGACCAGCAGTGGTCCATGCCATAGTGCCACTGTGGCACTGGGCACTTAGTGAAGGCTGTTTACAGTGTCCACGCTTGGTATCCCCACTCAGCTTCTGCCTAGGTGTCGCTGTGGCAGCAGGAGCAGCAGGGGTTGAACCAGGTGGCGCCCTCTTTCCATTCTTCTTCCTCCTTGGTCTGTATTTGTAGTTGGGATGTCGCTGCATGTGCAGTACTCTCAACCTCTCTGCTTCCTCTACAAATGGCCGCCTTTCTTGGTGGGTCAAGCTCTTCCACTTTTTTCCTGAAGGTGGAAGAAAAATAAAGAATATAAAAAGAACCCTCAAACAACATTACTTCACGCCTGTCAGAAAGTTACTTGGTGCTCACTCAACAGCAGAACTTAAGCAGGTCAGACAAATTCATGCACCTGCTAGCAGGTTGTTTTTTTTTAGAATATAAAAAGAACCCTCAAACAACATTACTTCACGCCTGTCAGAAAGTTACTTGGTGCTCACTCAACAGCAGAACTTAAGCAGGTCAGACAAATTCATGCACCTGCTAGCAGGTTGTTTTTTTTCCAAACAAGGAAGCAAAGCTAATGCTGGGTTACTCCAAAAGAAACTCTTAGAAAAGAATCTCACAGTAGAAATTTTAGAATTTTAGAATTGAGAGACATCATGTATATTTCTTGTTGAACAAAACTACAGTACTTTTTTCTGATAATGGGGAAAATAAGTTCTTCAATTCTTAATAATGCAGGAGAGCCAAGAAAAAAAATCCTAAAATTGAAGATAAGCAAAATAGATGCATTTATAGGATTAAAAAATTTGAATGATTTCCAGAAATGCATGAAAGAACACTTTTATATGAGGCTGAGCATTATAGACCAATTGAAAAACTATTTAAAAAAACTTTTTGCAATTCTTCATATACATTTTGAAGAATCTCAGAAATTTCAGATTAGCCATTCCCCAATTGTCATAGATGTACATCTACATTACCCATTTCTTTGTTAAACAATTGATTTTTTAATGAATGTCATAACCTTCTATGAACTGAATGTGAGGTGGGTTTCAATAAAAACATGAAATGAAAAAAAATGCACAGTTTCACCATAATTTGAAATTTACATCCAATAATCAGCATTCAATAATTTGAATTTCTTGAAGAAACCATAACTGAGTTTATGAAATCAGTTGGGGGGCACACAAGGGGAAGAACTGCAATTAAAGTTTAAAAGAAGGGCATCATTCCTCAAAATATGCACAGGTCATGTAAAAATTTGCATTGCTTTTAGCAGAACATTGGTTTTTCCAGTGGAAAAAATATGCCAGTGTTAAAAAAGAAATCCATTCAAGGAATATGTATGCTTGTCAGCCTGTATACAGGCATTAGTCGAGAAAACATACTCGAAAAAGTCAAAGTATGTTTACGTTCGAGTGAAAGGTCGTTAAAAATTGGGTTGTTCCACTCAATTTTTTTATATATAAACTGGAGTCTGTTCCAGGAGAGGACACAAAGGTAGGTCGGATCCTTTTACTACAGGGAAGATGGGGGGGGCATGCTTTTGTTTGTTCTGGTGATGGTTCTCTTGTTAATTTTTCTTTCCTTTTCCTTCTTTTACGACTGGACAGGAAACACATGTATGCAAATTCCCCTGAGGGGCTACCGTTTATTGGATATTCACCCGCGACCCTCCTTATTCTTTCAAAAGGCGGGCTAATCAAAGTGACCCCGAGGGGGTGGAACGCAATTAGAACGTAGGAGGTCGGCGGGTGGTTCGTAAGAGTTAAAAGGTCCTGTACGTTCTCCAAATGCGTTTAAATTAGTGTTGGAAAAATGAAAAGAAGTTTCTTTATGGTCCCCGGAAAACTTGTCAAAAATGATCAGACACTCAGCAAAAAAACACGAGTGTTGATAAGGTTTGATTTATTAAAAAAAACCATCAGTCAGCCTTTGTGATGGAAATATCATTTGCAAAATTTCAAAAATATCAAATAATTTACACTAATAAATTTTTTCCTAAAAAACCACCTACAAAGATAAACTTGCACTTGAAAAAGGAACCTTTCTGATTCTAAGTACTGTACCATGAGAGTCATTTTCATGGGGTTTAAATGTAACCTTCAACACATTTGTATTCCTTCTTGGTTCTACTCAATTTATACATGTTGGCAACTTATGATTTGAGGTAAAATTAGCAGTTGAATATGAAGGATAATACAGTGGCCCCCGCCTAACAGACCTCCCGTGTAAGGGATTTTTGCTGAACAGACCAGCTCTGCAAGCAGTTTTTCATCCTGCCCAAAAGACAAAATCCACCAAACAGACTTCTTTTGGTTTAAAATTAGTGTTGAAAATTGAAATTTTTAATTTTTTATGTAATTGAATTTTTGTAAAGGACTTTTTGTCTAACAGACTTGTCCCTTGCACGAATCAAGTCTGTTAGACGGGGGTTGACTGTAATAATATTAATATCAGCTTATTTCTGACATTGGGTATTGTGTTTGATCAGCTTCTCAACTTCTAATCTAATGTCCAAGGTCCATTGCTTTTGGCTCAAAGGTGGAAATAAACAGAAGTTTGGTAGGCTTATTTTACATAAATAAAGAGGACTGATGGAGACACTAATTAATGTTGGGTGCATATATATGCCAACTCCAACAAACCATTGCATTCCGTTTTTTGGTGGATCAAAAATTCTGTGTAACAAATAAATTACCAGTCTGACAATTTCTCAGGTAAACATATCTGAAATGTTTGCTGTTTTAGGCCCTTACTTAAAACTCAAAAGTTTCCATTCAAGTTCACACTTGGAAAATGACAATAAGATAAATTGACATTTGTAATCTGTTACTAGTTTCTCAAGAGAATAACCTTCAAAATCAAAAGAATAACTTTCATGGTAAAAGCCATGCACCAGAATTGTTCTCAACTTACTGTAATTTACAAAAAAATATTTGGATTTCTAACAACAAGATCGCTGGGTAATTCCACAAAAACCACAGCGATATGATGACAGATTTTTCCAAACTTGTTTCAACATGGATGCTGATGGGGTTCTGGCAACCTTGGGGGGGGGGGGGGGATTGGGCTCCAGAAACAGTGTAAACATACACTGTTGAATAAATAGAAAAATAAATGCATGAAAAATGTCAAAGGCATGTGCTGACTTGAAAATTAATCAAGTAATGCACTGCTGAATTTATATCCATTTGGTATTTTTGGGATTAGGCATATTCTAGGTAGTAAAAGTTTCCTAATCCTTGAATTTGAATTACAGGAAGAGGACCAATATCTTGAATTATGATAGCTAAAACGTTTTTAGATCATAAGTGAGGAACTATCCTGATAACCTTCAAAACAACTAATACCAACTCAGAGGAGGGACAATAATTATGATTTTTTTTCACAGATCCCTTTAGATATTTCAGCATGAAAAATATTTTCAATTGGGATGTTGCTCCTGTTTTGGGTTCTGGCAACCTTTTGAAAACGGTTCTTTTCCTGCAGAAGCACTCATTGAAAAATAAATGAAAGAAATTTCAAATAAAAAAATGTAAAAAATATTGAGCATGAAACATATGACAGGACACCTATAGAAAAAAAAGTTGACTGTCCTCCCAAATAAAAGCATACCACAAAAGCAGACACTCAGCACCACCAAACCAATGTTCACACCTGCGCGCGCATCTCGTTGTTAACTTTTACGAGCCTTCATGCAGCAGAAGAGAATAATAAAAAATAAATAAAAATAAAAGAGAAGAAGAAGAAGGAAGGGGCCAGTTTTCGCCGCGCGGGGGCGCCACATTCGTCACGCCTGGATCCGATAAAATACCGCCCGGCTTCGACCCGGTGGGCAAACAAGTCCGGCCCTTTCCCCGTTGGCAACGCTGCCATTATACGCGATTCTCCACGGCCCGAGTCCCAGTCGTTAACCATTCCCTTATCAGAAAGCCCTGGTTTCCTGCCAAGTTTCATGCTCATCATATGCCTCTGAGATTTTTTATTCTATTTGTTCATGCACAGTATTTGAAAAAATTTATTTTATTGATTTTTCAACAGCTTCTGCAGCAGGGAAGCCACGTTTTTTTTTTACCAAGGTTGCCAGAACCCAGATAACAGCAGCACCATCGCTGTTTAATTTTTTTTCTTCATAAAATACTTTTAATACCTTCAGGGGCCTGAGAAAAATTAAATTATCAGTCATCCTTCTCCCGGGAACTTGCACATAATTTATTTTTCAAGATAAATAGGATAATTCCTAATTTATGATCTAAGAATATTGCAACTATCATAATTCAAAATGCTGATACACATTCAAAGATTTGGAAACCTTTGGAAAGATTTGTTGTGGAAGCAAATTGCTTCCACAACAGATAATTCAAACCAAGTCATGAATTGAATGTCGCTTATCTGATGAAATGAAGAGGAAGATGCTTAAATAAATAGCACAAAACTTATCTTTTTATCCCTCCATTTTACTGAACTGCAATTTGCTTTAAAAAAAGAAGTACATTTAAAGAAGAAAAGGCGGCCTTGGTGTGAATCTATTCATCCATTCATACATTTTCTTTGGAACAAAGGCAATTCATTTCCAACATGCTGTTCATTTGAATGGAAGGCATATATATTCTCAAATGGAACTGAAGAATTTCCAATAAATATGTTACGTGGTGTATTTTTATGAGTGCTGAATGTTCTATATAGAAAGTCTTACTTCTTTGTTAATGGAAAGCTGTAAAACTTTTTTCATTTTTCTGTAATTTTTCAAAAAATCTTTGTGGCCAATGCACCATAAATTTGAAAAAAAAAACTCTTTGTATGAGATCACAGCCTAAAACGAGTTTTTTTAAGCAAGATTTTTATGACATGGGGCTTAAGGAGAAACTGTCAGGACCAAGAAAAACATTCATTATAACAGAAAATTCATTGTAACGGAATTTCACTGTATCTCAAGAAAAAAAATGAATGAAGTCAGCAGTTGTACTGAAATGCACACAATCAATATGAATATGACTCCAGTTCAAAATTTTCATAGCAGCAGAATGTCCAAAAAATATTTTCAAATATCATGTTTTTTTTTTGGGGGGGGGGGGGGGGAGGATTTGATTAATTCACGGTTGCCTTATTGGGAAAACGTGGAACTGAATTGAAATTTAGTAATCGATTGTGTACTTTTCTATATTCTGTCTTAGAATAATGACTCACCAAGCATTTTGCTGAGATCAGCATTGTGCAAATCAGGGTTTTCATCAGCCAATTTTTTGCGCTCTACTTTGGCCCAAACCATGAAAGCATTCATGGGTCTCCTGATTCTTTGCTCTTTGGCAGCCTTTTTCTCCTGAGCACTCACACAGGCTTGTTGCAGTTTGCCTCCAGCAGTGGCTCTGCAAAAATTGAAATATGGGAGAAAACTTCAATAATTGCATAAAAATACTAAATTAAACTAGTCGCTAAGTTATAAAGTTCAAATCTTTCTATAGGTCTCTTGATATATCTGAAAATTGAGGAAATCGTCAGGAGAAGAAAAATGAGCGTGCCAACATTTTCTCAAGCTTTCTGTAATGAAATACACTTTCTGTGCTCAAATGAGATTTGATTTTCAAATGACATTTTATTTTGACATCATTTAAAATTTGCTATAGCTTTAAAAAATTATGAAATGCCACTTGTTCTCATGTTTCAAGATTTCATCTCTTAAGGATCACTCTTTTGAGGCACTTGCTCCTTCAAAAGTTGCTTTTACAACTTGATTCAAAAAATAAGTTTATTTTTTCCAAGACTTTTTGTTAAAGTTGCCATCTTGAAATTGCTTTTAGAGCAATTTTTCTTCTGATGCTCTTTGTAAAATAATATTTTCCAACATGTTCCTTTGAAAGTTGCACTCCTAAAACTTTATATTTTGAGCCATAATCCTTTGATAATTTATCTTTGGAAAAATGCTCATTAAAAACTTGCTATTTTGAAACTTGATCTAGAAAGACTGTTTCTTTTGATGCTCTTTCAAAAAGGAATCCTGTTGGAGACTTGGTCTTTTGAGATATTCTCTATTGGGGTTTTCTGTATAATGAAATTAGCTCTTCTGAAATCATTCTTTTCTTTTATTCTTTCAAGATTTTATATTTTGAAAAGCTTGCTCTTCTTCATTTGATGATCCCTATATTGAGAATTGTTCTTTTGGCCATCATATATGAGGAAATGTGAATAAAAATGCATGTAGGTGACTGGGTATCATTTGTAGACCACCCAAACACTCCTGGGTCCTAAGCGGTCACAGTTCGTGTCGGCCCTAAACAACGCAGGCGCAACACCAGTGAACCCATGGTGACCATGACGACCACGAGCTGTTTGAGCTGCTGTAAAGGGACTCAAAAGGGAAATCCAGGACCTGGTGAGCCTGGCTATTCACTATATCATAGTAATGTTGTTGTTGTTGTTGTTGCTGCTGCTGCTGCTGTTGGTGATGGTGATGCTGGTGTTGCAGGTGCTGGTCAGAGAGGGCGCCAGTGTCCAGGGGGTCGCTGGAGAGGAACCTTTTGCCAAAGGTGGACATCCCTGGGATGCTGGTTGTGGTGATTATGTATTGGTCTCTGTTTGATTGCTCTTCTGTACACAAGCAACAACAAAAAATCCAATTCTTCAGTCCATTGCATTAATACATCAACCAAAACATATTTTTTGTGGGATTTCATTTACGTTTTTTTAGGTTTCTTTAAAAGATTTTTACTGTCCTATTTACTTCAACCTAGTAGATTTTAAGGTAAGTAACTTTTTTAACGGTGTTCTTATGGACTCTTCTTAGGAGTCTTTACTAGGGCTTGAATGATTTTTCCCACTTGAGAAACAGCTCATGGGATTTTTTTCAAGTACTCCTTTTCTTCTAAGCAGGTTATAAATGATTCCAAAGGTTCAACATGGGAATTTCCATGAGGAAATGCAGAACACTATTGCCATGACTCAACTTGAATTTTCAATCAGCCTTGCTACAATTTCAAATACAGTACAGGTTGCACCTTGCAATTTGACCATCCCTCAATTTAACAGTGAAATTTGCAGGGATGTTGGTTTGAAATTTGAACCTTGCCCCACAATTTGACCTGACTGGCCACTTCTTTTTGCATCTTTGTGCTAATAATTTTTGAATTTCACAGTGTCTCCCAATTTGACTGCTTCTCAATTTGACCCTAAAGTTCAGCAACAGATCAGGGTCAAATTGCAAGGTACCAACCATGCAGTATGAATGTAAAGTGCTTATTCTTGAAAAAATAAAGTGGAAGGATTCCAAGGCATCAGTAAAGGAATCTTTCCATTTTAAAATCAAAGCTTAAATTCTGGTAAACCTTTATAGCTGAACAATCATGTTTTTCCCTTGCTTTTTTTGGGTGAAAAAAGAATTTTGAGCCCTTTTATATCTTCTCTAACATGATTATCTCACAATTCCAAAAAAGGATATTTTCTGTAGATTTGCAAAGTTTGCAAATTAGTAAATCAATCCCACCTTTCCTCATTCCTAAAAAATACAATAAGAAATTAAGCCTGTATATTTCAATATCTCACTGATTTTTCACTAAAAAAATTCCCAAAACATTTAGAAAATATTTTGCAATGATCTGTAAAATCTGTAAATCAAATAATACAGGTTATAAATCTTTTCTGCAAGTTTAGGTATCTTATAGTTCAACCTATATGTGGTCAAGAGAGACAATCCTCTCCTTGAACCTGTATTATGAATTTATGAGTGATTGGTGAAACTGAAAAGGGATTTTAATGTTTTCACCTGAAACTTTCATAAAACAAGAGGGAATTGAGAACCAGAAATCATACCTGGTAGTTCAGTGGAGCACAGTTCCTGCCCTGGGGCAAACTCCTCCATTTCTCCTTCAGTCCACTGGTTCTCACTCATACCCATTCGCGAAAAATCAC